AAGAGAGGGTGCTCACTGGGCATAATGGTGGATGCCTGGAATCTAGCACTCATGGGGCAGAGGCAGGAGGATCACTACAAGTTTGAGGTCAGAACAGTCTATATAGAAAGTTCCTAGCTAGCTAGCCAGGGCTACATAGTATGACCTTGTGTCAAAAATTGTAAAAAAAAAAAAACCCACATACTATTTATGAAGTATAACCAATGGAGAAAGTGTCTTGAAGACTTTCTCTCTTGAAGACCTGAGTGACAGAAACCTGAGGAGTGGGAACAGGGAAGCCCCTGGTTCAGATGCCACATATGCCAGGCTACAGAATTTGTAGAATTTGGGCTGCTATAGTGTCAGACTTCGTGATCTGTAGTACTTCTGCGGCAGGAGTTTGGCCAGCAAGGCCACCCTGTGAAAAACTGCAGGCCTGCTCAACTTGAACCACTTGGCTCCTGGGGAAAATTAGTTACTTCAAAAATACCGTCCAGTCTTTACTACCCAGCTAAATCCAACAATTTCCAGGAAATCTTCCAAGCTCCTCGGCTACTAAGAACTTGTATTTAATTTTTTTAAATTTATTATTATTATTGCTATTATTATTTTGGGTTTTTGAGGCAGGGTTTTTCTGTGAAGCTCTGACTGTCCTCAAACTCACTCTGTAGACCAGGCTGGCCTTGAACTCACAGAGATCTGCTTATCTCTGCCTCCCAAGTGCTGGGATTAAAGGAGTGCTAATTTGTTTTAAGTGTGAGTGTTTGGTTGTAGGTGTGTGTGTGTGTGTGTGTGTGTGTGTGTGTGTGTCCCCTGGAGCAGGAGTTACGGATGTCTGTGAACTGCCTGCCATTTGGGTGGTTGGGAATTGGATCCAAAAGAACTAATGAATAAATAATAGGAGACATTTTGGGGAGACTGAGGGATTTGAACGTGAACTGCATGTTAGCTGTTGTTGTCGTGATGTTGGTTTTTTTTTTTTTTTTTGTGGTGGTGACTCTGTCAGAAAGTGAGCTTGTCCTCTGGAGATGCAGACTGACATTTCTAAGGGCGAGGTGGCACAATATGACAGGCTAACCTCCAGATGGTTTAGCTGAAGACAAGTCCAAGTGCCAGTCTAGAGAGAGCAAAGGAAGTCTGCGTATGTGTGAGCGCTTGCCAGTTGCTGTGTCTGCCTGAATGGATGCACGGACATTCACTGTACTCTTCTTTTCTTTCTCCCTGAGTTCGATACTGTTCAGAAAACTTTTTAAATCAACAAATTGTAGTTAAGGGGGTGGTGGTTTAGGCCATTTGGTTGAGTGTTTATCTAGCATTCAGAAGGTCCCTGGGTTTGATCCACAGTGCCCTATGAACAGACCTGGTGGCTCACACCTATAATCCCAGCACTCCAGAGAGAGAGAAGATGGAGGATCAGAAATCCAAAGTCATACTTGGCTAGTTTGATGCTAGCCTGTGTGGCCCTGAGACCCTGTGTCAAAGAAAGAGAGAAGAGGGGGGGGAGGCGAATTGCAGAAGTATAGCTATGTTTCAAAAAGTTGCTGGTTTTTCTGCAAGAGCTGTGATGCATTTGTGAGAAAGATATAAGATATGAAGAAGGAGCAGGGGCAGTCTTGACCGCCTGACAGAGTTAGCAAATCTAGGGTTGGTACGAGGATTCAGGTCTTCTCCCTAGGAGTGCACCCAGAACGGACAACAAGTACCTGATACCCAGAGCCATCAGGCAGCTTGGCCTCTGCTTCCTGGCTTTTTCCACTCCCCTCTTCTGTGGAACCACACAGATAAGTATAATGACACAGACAGCATTCACTAGGAGGGCTATCAACATGGTTGACTTTCAAAACTAAGCGAAGTGGCTCTTCTCAGACTGCTCACAGTGAAAGCAAGCTTCCTATGACACCCTCTCCAGGACATGTCTCCCTGCCGGGTTTGCCTTATTACAACCACCTCATCCCCCAAGAGCTAGTATTTCAACCTGTCTCTAGACAAAAAGAATGCCCTAGATATTTACAATTCTATTTCTGGTCCCCTGCGTTCAGGAATACCGCTATCCCTAGCCTCCTGTGACTAATGCGCGCTGTCCCCGGGAGCCAATACACTTCTCCATTTACAAAGCGGCTGGTGGTGAAGTTGGCCACAAGTGCTCTGAGCTTCTCTGGAAAAAGTTCTGGGCAGCGGAGTGACACTTGATCCAGAGCTGAATGGCCACTCTGTGCAGGGGTGCTCGCGCTGGGGTTGGGCTCTTATCCACCGCTCTGTTTTGAAAAGAGTCACTCATTCACTTATTCAGGATGAGTAACAGTCGGTGGTGATGGATAGATAGCAGATTGCTGATTTCATTTCCTGCCCATGGTTTCTGCACAGGGGTCTGAAGGGCAGAGAGGCATTTCAAAAATGTTCATGCAAACAGCACTGCTGGGCAAAGTGGGCAGTTCCCTAAAATGGACTGCTGTGCCCAGCATCCTTCATCTCATAGTCTACATTCCAATGCAGTAACTCCTGGCAGCTCCTGCTATTGATCCCCTTTATTTTGCAATCACATCTTATATGTGGAATAGTACATAATACTTAACAAGGGATAGAGGGGGAGATTAAAGTCCATTTACCACCAAGTATACATCAGGTATTTTTATTGATCTCTCAATTTTATTTATTTATTATTGATCTACGGCATTGATCTCTCTCTCGCACGCTCGCTCTGTCTCTCTCACGCGTGTGCTCTTGCTCTCTTTCAGTATTTTTCAAGATAGGATTTCTCTGTGTAGCCCTGGCTGTTCTGAAACTCACTCCATAGACAAGGCTGGTCTTGAACTCAAAGATGTGTCTGCCTCTGCCTCCTTGATGTTGGGTTTAAAAGCATGCACCACCACCCAGCTTGCTGGCTTTCTTTAGAAGATTAATTTTATTATTAATAATGTATCTGTGTGCATCTCTGTGTGGGTATGTACTCATGAATGCAGAAGGAAGCCTGTAAAGGGCGTCAGATTCCCTGGAACTGGAGTTATAGGCAGTTGTGAGTTGTCTGACATGGGTGAACTTGGGTCCTCTGCAAGAGCAGGAAGCATCTAACTGTTGAGCGAGCTCCTTAGCCCCAGCATCAGGTGATTTACACACCGTTTCCTTGAATCCTTATGACACTCCTGTAAGTAACGTTTTCCCCACCTCATTTCACAGATGCAGAGAGCAAAATCCAGCGAGCTGGAATCTAACCCACATTCTGCTTTATGTGCAGATGCTGAAATCCAAGCTCCTCTCACTTGGGTTATCTCCAAGAACTCACCATCCACTCTGTCATTTGATAGATAGCCATTTGGCTTTAGGTTACTCATTGCCCTTCATTTCCAATGCACATCTTCTCCTCACATTGCTGAGATGATCTTCACTAAACACTCTTGAGAAGAATGAGAACATGTATTTTCAAGACAGATATTAATGAAGACCAAGTGCCCTTCCCCTCCATTAGCCTGAAAAGCCGTGGATCATTGCTCATTGCATTGCAACCATTCATTATGTCACAAACACCGGCAATTCCCAGTCCTTCTGATTCTGATAGGTACAAGGACATTACAAATTTTCTTAGGAGATATTATAGTTAAGAGTTAATTCTGAAAATAATAGTTAAATTAGTATATATTTAACCTCTAGTTCTGTTTGATTTTGTTGTGTTTTCTCTTGCTTTGGCTGTCCTGGAGCTTGCTTTGTAGACCAGGCTGGTCTTGAACTCATAATAACCTCTAGATTATGTACTGTGTTTAGCACAACATAAATATAACTGGGATTTTAAGACAACAGACTGGGTTTTTTGTCCCAATTGGAACAGACCAAGCAGGCTAGGTTTAGCCATCATCTTTGTTTCCTCTGAAACTGAAACATTGGAGAGATTCTATCCATCAGGGAAGCTCCTTAAACAGAAGGTGAACTCAGAATAGCTTCAGTAAGTCCCTGAAACTGACCAGATTCACTAGGCTTTTCCCTGCCAGAGTACAAAATAAAAATTTAGCTGCAAAGAAGACTCTGGGATCACAGAAGCTGCGTAGAAGAAGCAGAAACCAGCAGAGCTGCTTTGAAGAGGTTTGGATCAACTGAGGCACCTGGAAAGGGTATCCTTGAACCTGTTGAACAGCCTGAGGGATGTGCAGTGTTCAACTTTGTGGGTGGTCCCCCATGCTGGAGTAGGTTCTGAGTCATTTACTTGAGTCCTTTTGGATGCTGTAAATAACCTTCATCCATAGTCTTATAAGTAACCCCAATAAAACCCATTGGTTCACCACACTGGACTTTGGTAGCAGTATCTGTGCTTTGATTTGTCATGGGATCTCTATCTGGAGTGTGTGTGTGTGTGTGTGTGTTATGTCTCTCCAGGAAAAGAATTTGTCATACAATACGATTAAACATGCCAATTAAAGAGACTTATAATAGTGAAGAACAGGAAGAGGAGATTTAATCCATGTGGACTCATGGGTAAGAACATGGGATCAGGGATCAGCCTTCAGGTTAGTGACAGGAGCTTCAGGCTGGAGAAGGGGAGAATTGACACAGGGCAAGAGGTCTGAGTAACCAAGCAGTTGTGGTCAAGACACTGGTCTAGTTGGCCATTGTCCCAGTTTCAGTTTGCCAGGTGGCCTGGCGAAGCTGTTACCAACACAATTGTCAGGCTTGAGGAGATCGATCGCTTCTGCTCCAGGGCACCCTCACAGATAATTGCCCTCATCATCAGGGTGGGAAGGTCGTCTGCATTGTGAGGCTTTTGCTATTTCTGGAATCCAAGATGACTTCAGGTTGTCTTTGTCCTCATGTGAGGGGTTAGTGCTTTTTAGAAAAAACAAAACATAACAAAAACAGTTTCCAAGCTCCTGTTGCACAGAGAGACCTGCACCCTTCTACTCAGGGTGACTGCTGCTTCTGTGTAAACAAGGAAGATAATTTAAGCCCCATAAACTTCAGTTTTTGCACAGGTTCAATAAAGATAAAATTGTACTGTGTTAATGAACGATGGGGGTCAAATTCAGTACAGAGCTCGGCCTACAGAACAGTTTTTACAGGCACAAACATGGCAGTGCTAAATCAGGTCATGTCAAACCGTGGTAATGCTAAATGAGATGCAGAAAATAAAACCTGCAAATGGGGAAGAATGAAGAAGTGTGGGGCGTGGTGTGGCAGGGCAGGGCAGGGCAGTGAAGCTGGCAGCGAGGAGATGATGCTCAGACTGAGACCTGAACACTCACTAGGAAGCAAATAAACTGGATAGGAACGATGATGCTGCCAGGTATAGCTGAAGGCCTGAGTTCAAGCTCTCAGACTTGAAATCTAACTGTGTTACTGCTGAAAGGTCCGGATCTGCGCTACAAAAACCTTTTACAAAGCATACCGTATAAGGGATGCGAAGGTTAAAATGAAGTAGGAAATCCATTAAAATGTAGGCTTTCCAGCCCTACCTATAAGAAGTAAGTTATTATATAAATGTAACCCCGTGAAGGTTGAAGAGAGAGATTCCATCTATTCCCATACTCTCCCATTCATGCGTTCTTCTGTTTCTTTGCTCATCCATCAGGGTTGATGAAGTCCTCCAGAGAGCCTGGTTCCTGGTTTAGGAGCAACCCTCATTTACACAGGATTTTCCACGGGCCACATTTGTGTCTCACAATAGTGCTAGGAAGTCAGAAGGGCGGTCACCCTCCCACGGAGGAGGACCTTAGGAATCACCTTCAATGGCATGCCTCATACAGTCTTTTTTATATTCTAGACGATTTCCCAGATCCACCTGTCAGGGCTAGGATGTCAGTCATAAAGGTTAAACTATGGTTCTTCATCAAGGTATCCCAGCTCTCTAAAACTCCTGCAGGCTCCTAATGGGTGCAACTGAGATGAAGACTCAGAGGAAACCGTCAGACTGACTTTCTTCCCCCAAGAAATGTCTGCTGGGAATCAGGCCTTACAAGGCCCTTGGAGACAGTGACCATGTCTTTTGAACCTAATGCCAACTCTATGACCTGAGTGTCATATACAGTATTTAAAGTCATCCCACCTTTAAGGGATTGACCTCAATTGTCAACCTGGCATACCTGGGAAAAGGGAACCTCCATTTAGGAATTGCTTCTGTCAGATCAGCCTGTAGGTGTGTCTTAATGGTTAACTGATGTATGTGGGCCCAGCCCACTGTAAGTAGTACCATCCCTGGACAGGTGGTCTTGAGTTACTTAAGAAGGTGGCTGAGCAAGCCCAAGGCAGCAAGCCAGTAAGCCACATTATGCCTTTGCTTTTTCTTCAGTTCCCTCCTCTACATTCCCACCTAGCAGATCCGCCCTTGCTTCCCTCCATAATCGACTGTGTCCTGTAAGATGTGATAAACTGTTCTTTTTGCTAATGGTATTATCACAGCTACATAGAAACAAGCTAGACCCAGGGGTATAAGGTTGTTGACCTCCAGTAATAATGGGGATAGGTGGGAGAGAGTGCTAAAGGGGGAGGTGGTTCAGGGACAGAGTCAAACCAAGCGAAGACTCCGCCAGCTCTGAATTTGTGAGGTTTCCTGTCTCCAGGCATTGACACCTGGGGAAGATGGCTCTTGCCTGCGCGTAACAACTGCAGAAAGAGAGTTGGAACTGCTTTTGCAGGCGTGATCTGTAAGGAAGGGAAATAAGAAAAGGTCTTGAAATGCCTGGAAACTTCCAATCTCCTGGGCCCATGAGAAAGGATACAGATTAGTCCAGCCCCCACTGGGGGCCATTTGTCCTCTGCTTCACCTTTGAGGGGGTTAAAAGTCTTGCTATACTGATGAGGCATGGATGGAGGAGGGACTTGGGAGGAAGGCAGAGGCAGGAAGGAGAAGAGACTCAGGGAGGGAGAGGCAGGGCCAGGGCTCCTCTTGCTGTTTCCCTTTGTGGCAGGGGGTTTGGGCTTGTAGGTCAAAGACAGGATGTGAAGTGGGAAGTGTGCTGTGGTCACAAGGGCTGCAGCTGATGGGGGGGGAACGGCGTGATGGTGTGGGTCCAGGGATACTCTGCAGGGAGACTGCAGGGGCTGGGAGAGGGAGTGAAAGGGCTAAGGGGGTGGGGGGATGAATAAGGTAGACCACCTTCCCTTCCCATTAGGCCACTTTCCTGAACCCCACATCCTACCAGGGCTCATGGTTTGGTGTCTGACAATAGCCGCTTTGTTTGGTGTCTGGTTTGGGTTTATTCCTGCCATATAGTGTGACCGTGGGCAGGTATCTTGCCCACTGGTCCTCAGCTTCATCGCTTGTGAGTCAGAGGTGGCGCAAACGGGAACAGAACTTTGTTGGAAAGAAATGAAATGCCTTGCACATTGCAGCAAGCACATGGGAAAACGAGAGAGAGAGAGAGAGAGAGAGAGAGAGAGAGGAGGAAGAGAGAGAGAGAGAGAGAGAGAGACTCTTATTCAGGAAGTCCACATCAACTCTATAGTTTTGAGTCATTTCCCACTGGAGTGCTCACCCCTGCAGGCTGGTTTCTCTATCCTTTGTCACTTGACAGCACGGGGAGAAGCATCATTTCAGTTTCCAGGCATCATTCAGGCGAGGCTAAAGTGGGAGGGAGGCAAAGAGGGACAAAGAAAGGGCTGGTGCCTCCACTTATCTTGGATTTGGTCTCTGCTCTGCTCATCTCTTTATTTGAGGTGATGGGTACCAAACATAGGCATTTCTGTGATAGACAAGCACTCGACCACTGAGCGACATTCCCAGGCCTGTTGCTTTGAGACAGGTGGTCACTATGTAATTCAGGCCACCCTGGAACTCACTGTTCTCCTGTCTCAGCCTTTAGGGTGTTGGGATCAGCTACTCAGCTTAGCTCCTTTCTCACTATACTCTCTAATCCTGAGTGGCTCGGGATCTTTTTATTTACTTCAGCTCCATTCACTCAGCTTTGTTATATGAGCTGCATACACATGAGCTGTGTACACACAGAGGAGAGAACAAGGAAGAAACAAGACTTCCGAAGCCTTTGGGTGCTATGTTGCTGATCACAGATTTGTCTCATGGCCATAGGTCATATAATCCTCCCAGAAGGGTTCCTACTATAGGTACTTTATCTTATATCTAGGAATGGCTGTGCATTGTGGTACACACACACACACACACACACACACACACACACACACACACACACAGAGAGAGAGAGAGAGAGAGAGAGAGAGAGGAGATACCCCATAAAACTGGGGCCCAGAGCTTAGGTTTTCTTCCTCTCTTCTGTGTCTGCTTCAGGTGAGGTAGACATGGTGAGGTTACTCAGGGGTCAATGGGAACAGTTCTCTGAGAACTAGAAAAAGAACTATCTATGAAATATTGAGAGTTTCTATAGAAAGAAAGTTGAGTCTTTCTATTAACTCCAACCCAACCCAACCCAGCCATTGCCTTTTGTTTCTCAAGTGAATTCAGAATCACCCTGTTGGAAAAAAAATTACAATTTTTCCCCAGTGCTTGGGGAACTAAAGTTGACATTTAAAAAAATCACTCATGCAGTTAAATGCAAGAGTATGGAGACACTTAGGTCTCTGCTATTATAGTGACTTCTCTTCTTGCAGATGTGAGAACAGAACTGAGAAATGTCACCACATGACTTGAATGCAAAATAGCGTGTGCTCACTTATCCACAAGGCAGACATTGCATTGCCTCTGCACTAAAGGTAATCGGACTGTCTTACCTGGGGTTTCTATTCCTGGAGAGGCATCATGACCACAACAGTTCTTATAAGGGTAAATATTTAACTGGGATGGGCTTACAGTTCAGAGATTTAGTCCATTATCATCATGGCAGGAAGCATGGCAGTGTGCAGGCAGACATGGTGCTGGAGAAGAAGCTAAGAGTTTTACATCTGGATCAGCAGGCAACAGGAAGACAGAGTGAGCCACTGGGCCTGGTCTGAGTGTCTGAAACCTCAAAACCCAGTGACATACTTCCTCCAACAAGGCCACACCCACTCCAACAAAGCCACACCTCCTAATAGTGTCACTTCCTGTGGGCCTATGGGAGCCATTTTCACTCAAACCACCACACAGACTAGGAGTTCAGCGTGAAAGGCTGTTAAAGTTATGTCAAGGATAGACCTGTAGGTGATAGTGTCTGTATAAAGGATGCTCAACTGAGAGCTGAATAGTGAAAAAATTAGTATAATACAAGGCTACAGAGATAACAGAGGTGGTGTCTTGCTGTCTTCTCTTTAATTGTCTGCCTTTTTTAACTATAGCTATCCAAGTCAGTAACTGCAACTCTGCCACTACCAAACAGTGGCTAGGCCGCAAGAGCCTGCAGCCTGAAGAAAGTCTGTTCCCTCAGGCACCAACCTTGCAAAACCACTAAGAGAATTTATCTTACATCTCTGTCTCACTAAAGAATTCAAGATCCAAAGGTTGAGGAAGAATCCTGCTTTCTAGAGAGGCTGAATAGCAAGCAGCTCACCCAGCTTGTTTGCTCACGTCTCTCCAGAAGTCCTCATGCCGTTTCTTGCCTCTCTCTTTCTCTTTTTCCTTTTTCTTTCTTTTTTTTTTTTTGAGACAGGATTTCTCTGTGTAGCTTTGGAGCCTGAACTGGCACTTGCTCTGTAGACTAGGATGGGCCTTGAACTCACAGAGATCCGCCTGCCTCTGCCTCCCGAGTGCTGGGATAAAAGGTGTGCGCCACCACTGCCTGACTGTTCACCCCTCTTTATAAAATCTTCTCCACCTGGCTCCTCCCTGATACTTCCACTTAGCTAGTTACTGACTCCGGACCACAGGCGAATTTTATTTAATCAAATATATCTTTGCATCATTAAACAAATGTTCCAGAGCATAAACAAAAGTAACACACCTTAAAATAATACTGTACAACACCATCTTAGTTAGAGTTTCTATTTCTGTGAAGAGACACCATGACCTTGGCAACTCTTATAAAAGAAAACATTTAGCTGGGGCTGGCTTACAGTTCAGAGGTTTAGTCCATTATAATCATGGCAGGAAGCAAGGCAGCATGCAGGCAGACATGGTGCTAGAGAAGGAGCTGAGAGTTCTTACATCTTGACTTACAGGCAGCAGGAAGTGGTCTGAGACACTGGGCGTGACTTGAGCATATATGATACCTCAAATCAAATGATGCCTCCACAGTGACATATTTTCTCCAACAAGGCCATATCTTCTCCAACAAAGCTACACTTCTTAATAGTGCCACTCCCTTTGGGGGGGCATTTTCTTTCAAATGCCATGAGATGATGACATCTTGATTCACAAGACAAGGGCTCTCGATGAAAGTGGGCCCACCAAGACCTCCAAACTTGGCCTAGATATAACAAATTATTTTCTCTTGTCTAAGGACAAAATCTTGAAGGCATGCACAGGTACACACATCTGAGATCCCAACACCCAGGAGTCTGGGGCAGGAGAATTCAATTGTGGGACCAGCCTAAGTGAGCTACATAGTAAGAAAAGAGTGTGTGTGTGTGTGTGTGTGTGTGCATGGTGTGTGATTGTGTGTGTGGGCACACGTGTGTGTATGTGTGTGTGTGTGTGTGAGAGAGAGAGAGAGAGAGAGAGAGAGAGGAGGAAGAAAAGAGGAGAGAGGGAGAGAGGGGAGAGACAGAGAGAGAGAAAGGGAGGGAGAGGGTGAGGGAGGAAGAGAGAGAGAGAGAGAGAGAGAGAGAGAGAGAGAGAGAGAGAGAGAGAGAGAATACCTTTGGATACTAATTATACCATGGATTATACCATGGATTCCCATTTCCTCACTGAGAAAACTCTTCTCTGAGCCCCAGAGTCATTTCTTTAGCACTGCACAGATCCCCCATGTGGAGGTCCATGCCCGCCTGGCGTGAGTGACTAGCTGTAACTAAAATGGGAGTTAAGTCTGAGGTCCTGGTCCCAGACCATGACCTTTACTTCTACTTCCTTCCTTGGAAGAACTAATTTACAGTCTATAACCCATGACCACATCAGTTATGTAACTGTTACCACAAGGACCTAGGGACCCAAAGCTGTCCTGTTTGGCAATAGGTCAAGGATCAGAAGAGATCTAGAATGTACAGTGACCCTAAGGGATTAGTGAAGATGGTAACTATGGGGCCAGAGAAAAAATAGTGTTGATCTTCTTTGTTCATTTTCTGGAGGGAGAATACATTTTCTTTTTTGGAAACTCTTTTAATTCCTTTGCATTTGTTTAGTATGTCTTGTGTGTCTGTGTACATAAGCCAGAGCATGCGTATAGAGGTTTATCAGCAGGTGCCTTTACCTACTGAGCTGTCTCGCTGTCCTTAATAAAAGACATTTTATAAAATCAGACCTGAACTAGGCCTGGTTGTTCAAGCCTGGAATAGCATCAGTGTCCCAAGAGGCTAAGGCGGAAGGACCACAAATTCAAGACCTATCTGGGATACAGTGAGTTCAAGACTAGCCTAGGCAATCTAATGAGACCCTATCTCAAAGAGTGAAAAGAGGACCAGGGTAGAGGACTCAGTCAGAGAATATTTGCTTTGCATGTACAAGACCCCAGGCATGTACACACACACACACACACACACACACACACACACACACTTTGTAAATGGAGTTGTGCCCATATCAAGTTAAGAACTCAAGTGGTTTTTTGCTGGCTTTAGAGTGAAGTCATTGTCCTTGACAGTTCTCAGGGCTCTCTCCCTCTCTTTGTGTCACGTGGTCCTTCTCAGCCTCAACATGCACCTGTGCTCTCAATATAGATTGGAGGTGGGGAATCACAGTGCTGGGAGAGACATGCCTGTAGCAAGAGGGTCTTGGTTTTGTGGGAACCCATGAGCAGGCATCTCTCCACGTATGTAGATGAAGGATGGCTTTCTGAAAGGGGGGTATCTAGGGCAAAAGCTACAGCATCATAAGAGATCAAGAGGGGCAGGGGAGAAGTTTCTGCAGAAGAAATGAAATATGCAAATACTGGAGAAAATAAGAACTAGAAGTTCATGAATCAAAGTAAGAAAGGTTTTGCTGAACCTTTCTAGAAGGTCTTATGGAGTGTATGCTGTTCCGGTGAGGATTTTTGTTTGTTTTTTTTGTTTGGAAACAGGGTCCTGTCACGTTGTTCAGCCTGGGCTTCAACTCTTGATCCCATGTCTGAGTTCCAAATGCTTGGATTATAGATGTGAGCCATTGCATCTACCTCCAGTGAAGGTAAACAGGGAACTGTGTGTGTATGTGGTGTGTGTGTGTGTGTGTGTGTGTGTGTGTGTGTGTGTGAGAGAGAGAGAGAGAGAGAGAGAGAGAGAGAGAGAGAGAGAGAGAGAGAATGTGCCCTGCAGTGGTCTGAATGCATTCCTAAACATTAATATGTTAGAAACTTAGTCCCCTAGTTGCTTCTTGGAAACTTAGACTTTATCTAAGATTAACTGTAGTAGTTTCCAATGTAGCAGTACATGGAGGTGGAACCTGATAGACAGTGGTTAGTTTACAGGGACACTGCCCTCATTAGTTGATCAGTGATAATATTAAAAGGCCTTACAAGTATAGAATCTACCTGAATATCTGTCTGTCTGTCTGTTTACCTATCCATCCATGTATCATCTCTCTCTCTTTCTCCCCTTATTTACTTCACTGCACCCCCTTTCTCCTTTTCCTTCTCCTCTTCCTCTTCCTTCTACTCCTTCTTCTTTTTAGGTTTTTGAGACGGTCTCATGAAATCCAGGCTGGCCTCAAACTCTCTGTGTATGGACTCACTGTACAGCTGAGGTTGACCTTGAACTTTTGATTTTCCTGCCTCTACATCCCAAGTGTTGGGATCACAGGCTTATGCCAACATGCAGATTTGAAGTAGTGCCATGACCAAACCCGGGGTCCCATGCAGGCTCCAAAAGTATTCTACCAACTGAGCTACAGCCCCATCCCAGGCTGTGTTTTGTTTTGAGACTTGGTCTTCTTACAGAAGCCTAGGTTCATTCAAACTGGTGGCAATTCTCCTACCTCTGTCTTTAAAGTGCCACCGTGTTCAGCTAATATTCACACGTTTTCCCTCCTCAAGGGCTAGAGACTAAACCCAGGACCTTATACATGCTAGGCAAGAGCCCAACCCCAGCCCTTATTCGTTCGAATAAGGGGATGCAATATTCATCCTTGTCTACTTTTCCATCATATGAAGATGCCGCAGAATGGGCCTCAGCAGACTCTAGAGGCCAGGGCCTTCACCTTGGACCTCTTGTCCTCCATCACTGCAAGATAAACATTTTGTTCTTTGTAAATGTTCAAGTTTGCCAGGTTTGGCAGTGCCTGAGAACTGTGACTGCAAGGATAGCCTGTGCTATGAAGTTAAATCTCACCTCAGGAGAAACTCAACCAACCCCTACCCCCTGCTGCCTGCCACACATCAAATTCAATGTGAATTTGAAAAGTTCAATTTGTGGTACAACATCAGTACAGTCACATATATCGACTACAGCTGGCCCCAGAGGACAACTGAAGAATTTAGATTGAATTTAGCAAACATTGGTGAGCATGCTGAGCACTTGACCATTATTGGGTGTGGTGGAACACCCCTGCAACTTCAGCACTCCAGAGGCAGGTGGCATTTGGGAGGCAGAAGCAGGCAGATCTCTGAGTTCGAGGCCAGCCTGCTCTACAAAGTGAGTACCAGGATATCCAAGGGCTGCATAGAGAAACCCTGCCTTGAAAAGCAATGAAACAACAAAATGATTTATTTTAAATTGTGTGAAGGTCTATGTGTCTGGGCGGGGGAAGTGCACATGAGTGCAGGTGCCCTTGGAGGCCAGAAGAGGGCATCAGATCCCCTGAACTGGAGTTGCAAGTGGTTATGGATCATTTGATACGGGTGCTGG